AAAAAAAAAAAAAAAAAAAAAGGAAAAAAAAACTTTAGGGTAGGAAGGCGAACAGTGATGATGGGAGATGATGGTCGCGGACCGTATACGGAACCAAAATAACAGGTCTGTTATTCAAGTTTTTTCTCTCTAGGTGGCGGATTCAACGGCGCTTTGTCTTTCGTTGTGCGGTAGCAAAGTGACCCTCTCAGTCCTGTCCAATATAGATTATGAGCAGGTATAAGGGAAAATTCAAATCACTCCTGAAGCGATAATCTTCGTTGAATGGGAACTGTTGACAGGCATCACTTGATTGGTGGGTATTGAGACGGTCTTGTGGCCGTGCGTTGCCAGTGCCCGGTAATTTTGCCATTCCACTTTCAGCAGGGGATTTCTTTCAAACCACAGAAGTATTGCCAATACCGTATTGTTCGGATTTCTGCTGCCCAAGAGGGGCCACGGTTCAACCTAGTAAGCAGCGTTAGTACCACTGTTATCAACATGGACTCTTCCTACTCGATTAGATATTTAGAAACTGGCGGCATGGGTTGGGCTAAAACAATGCATTCATATCACAAACACCATCTCCTTGCCCCACCAACCGCATCCTGCGCAGTAACCCCAGTCCTGAGAGGATGCAGCCACAGGTCCATTCACGTAACAAAGTGATACAGTCCATACAAGTAGGTATGTACTGTACAATACATACGCCATCTGCTTATTCAACTGACCCGCTGGACCTTTTTGGACGACGCATCGATCTCCCGGCCCGTTTAAATTGACTCCAGAGTAAGTTATCAAGAAAAGTGATTAGCCTGTCATGGCTATTGTATAATCCTTGAGTGATCTGCGACGGCATGGCACATATACGATATATTGCTCCTGATAGGAATAACAAGTCCACGGAGCACATGTCAAGCCCTTAAAACTTGGTGTATTCTAATTCCACATCCCTATGGTTATACTTAAGGGGTCATTTGAAGATCAAAAGAAGATAAGAGAGCTCAACTGAAAACAATACGGGGTGGTGTTATACTGCGTTATCATGGACAGTAGTTGCGATCAACATGCCATATATATAACCAACCGGAGATGTACCTAACTTTGTCAAGGTTTAGTAAAAGTCACATGTTGATGCTGTTTCTCCTTGCCTATGAATCTTCTTCCTCCTGAGTTATACGAGAGGTAGTGCTACGGAGTATCCATCCTGTGTACCACACCACCAAGGATTCCCGGAATGCGTCAGGCGATCCTCTAGTGGGTCATGACATGATACTTGCTAGTATGCCGCCGCATCGTAAGGTACAACACAGCCTACACTGTTCATGGCAGTCTTCTAGCAGTCTGCAAGGTACCGTTCCTGATGCTAAGTCTGTACCATCCTTGTAACTAGTCCTACTTAGGGATGTCCATCTTTGGCAATATTTTTCTAATTAATCATTTACCCCGGAACTCCCGTATTCCGGCTCACGCGGTAATAAAAATGTATATGTGAAGATTTGATACTAAATAACAATGATTTCTTTGTCCTATTCGCTTTTCGCCTGTTGACTACCCTCCGATAAGTGTGAATCAAGCGGTACACCATGGATGTTATTCTGGACGTGCTGGACACCCTAGTCTTCGACCGACTGTATGCAGCGATTCTCCCACGACATGGTGCAACGAAAATAGCACACTACTTTTCCTCCAATGGCACAGAACTGGCCACATTGAACGAAAGTGTCAATCGTTATTTCGTCCTATTGCCTTCCAAATGGGCTACACAAAGTATCTTGCCAAGAGACCACCTCCTTCGGCAAAGTTTGAGTTTGTTTCTTATTACATGGTTGGGCCTCTAGCTGTTATTTTGTCAGAAGGGATCGGGACTGATGATAGGGACGTTCTTCTGACAGGGCATTTGGCATCGTTCTCTACTTCCTCAGCGCAACACTTTCGTTTCACTTCGTCTACGACAAGCGCGCCATGAAACATCCGAAGTTCCTACGTAACCAGATTTCCATGGAGATCGCGCAAGCCGTGAATGCAATGCCCGTGATGGCAGCCCTCACTGTTCCATTCTTCCTGGCTGAAGTCCGCGGATACACAAAGCTGTACGATTTCTCCAGCCAAGCGCCTTTTCCGCTTTATACATACCTCCAATATCCTATCTTCATTGCGTTCACCGACTTCGGAATCTATTGGATTCATCGTGGAGAGCATCACCCCAAGGTCTACAAGCATCTACACAAGCCCCATCACAAGTGGATCATCTCGACTCCATTTGCCAGCTACGCCTTTCATCCGCTGGATGGGTGGGCGCAGAGCCTGTCATACCATGTCTTTCCTATCATATTCCCTCTCCAGAAGGTCGCCTACCTGGGTCTGTTTATCTTTGTGACGATCTGGACTGTTATGATCCGTAAGTTTGTTTCCCATACCAGTCCCAACTAGTGACATAAGTTTTGTTGATTCATGGTAGATGATGGAGAGTATGCCCTCGACTCACCTGTTATCAATGGCTCCGCCTGTCATACTATTCACCACTACTATTTCAATTACAACTACGGCCAATTTCTGACCATCTGGGACCGTATTGGAGGAAGCTATAGGAAGCCGAACCGAGAGCTTTTTGATCGCGAAGTGCGGATGACTCAGAAAGAAATCAAGAAACAGGTCGAGGAGATGGAGAAACTTGTTCAGGAGGTAGAGGGCGTGGATGACCGGTGTTATGAGACTCAAGCAGAGATGAAAAAAACCCTTTAATGACGGGTTATAGTCTCTGGAGACTAAAATAGCTTTGTTGTCTTCGTTGTCTACGACGGTTACGCATCCTGCATAAGCTCCATAGCAGGTAGCAAGTATATATTTAGTGTTTAATGTAATTATGAATTGGGTTATTAGTACTTGATATGAGAGTCGGGGTCCCTAGATCAAAATATGGAGTAGAAATAAAGGGAGAAGAAAGAAAAGAAAACAAAAAATTGGCTTGCAGTGTGGATTAGCATTACCAGAGTTACCGTTCGTCGTTGTCCGGCAACAGTGGAATCCGCCACCGGATGTTGTTGGAAGGCGCTCAGCACCCATAATGCAAATCCTTGCGCTCACATAGGTTTCGTTCTCCCTCTCACTTTTTTTAGGGGGTTAGCTTTTCTATGTCAATGAGGCTAGTAACGTAGGATTCAAGTGGAGTATCGGAGTATCTTTTGTCTCCACTGAGCGTTGTCGACAGAAGGCGTACGGCACCACTACTTGGTATTTTGTGTTGTATGGGTAGATACTTATATAGCGAGGATTCGCCCTCACTACCTCCGACCCTTGCAGGTCATGTCATTGTGTCTTATTATATTAGCATAGATTGAAGCCACTAACATTATGCATTTCACTAAGCGCACCGGCCACGCCCTATTCGCAAATTCTGCGAAACAATTCTCGACAACCTCCCGTCGCCAACTATCAGGCCTTAAGATCAACCACAACCGACTATGGGAAACGTTGCACGAAACGTGTGAATGGGGCGCGGCTCATAGATACGGCAAGTACGTCACACCTTAGTAACTTAGAGTCCTGAATGGCTTGCATAACTCCTCATCTAACATATACTCCAGGAATTCCACAGATACCGGCATGGCTCGTCTAACCCTGACCGATGCCGACGCGAGTGTGCGCCGCTGGCTTGATGATGAGGTCAGAAAGCTGGGTTGCACACTCCATGTGGACCAGATGGGCAATATGTTCGCAAGACAGAAAGGTCGTCTGAACTCGTCGGCGCCTATGATCGCCATGGGCAGTCATTTAGACACACAACCGCGTGGCGGTCGGTATGATGGAATTCTTGGTATAATGGCGGCATTGGAGGTACTGCGGACTATGAGGGAGAATGGGTATCAGACGAATTACGATGTCGGTTTGGTTAATTGGACTAAGTATGCACTCTTGTTCTTTTTGCGTCGGATATCTCCTTCCCCCATAGCGTCCACTTCTGAGACGGGTACTGACAAGATGACAGCGAGGAAGGAGCTCGGTTCCCCAAATCTATGTGCTCCTCTGGCGTATGGGCTGGCGTAATCCCCATTGAGCACGCCTGGAACCTTCGGGATATCCATGATCCCAACGTGACACTCCGTTCGGAGTTAGAACGACACGGATACCTGGGAGACATCCCCTGTTCGCCTGAGGGCTTCCCCCTTGGCGCACACTTCGAGCTGCACATCGAGCAAGGTCCTATCCTCGTGGAAACCGGCCGGTCGCTAGGTGTAGTCCAAGGCGCCCAGGGATATAGATGGCTAACCTTCACCGTGTACGGACGAGATGCGCACACGGGCACGACGCCCTTCAGCGCTCGTCAGGACCCCCTACTCGCCGCATCTAAGATGATTGCCGCATCGAATGAGATTGCAAAGCAACATGGGGCGCTGGCATCCACCGGCGTGCTCAAGATACCTTCTAATGCATCTACAAACACTGTTGCTTCGCAAGTAACGTTCACCTTGGACATCCGGCATCTCGAGGATGAAGTGGTGCACGCTGTGCAGAAGGAATGTCTTGAATCCTTCGCTAGCATCGCAAAGCAAGACGGGAAGGGTGTTTCGTTCGACTGGACGATAGATACGGATTCTGCTGCTGTCAAGTTTGACAAGGGCTGCATTGATGCAGTTCGCACTGCCGCTGACGAGCTTGTTGGCGCTGGACAATACATGGACATTACCAGCGGTGCTGGACATGATACTGTGAATACTAGTAGACATTGCCCCTCGACTATGATCTTCGTTCCGTGCCGCGACGGGGTCAGTCATCATCCGGAGGAGTATTGCCGTCCTGAAGATTGGTGAGTTCGTCCAAAACACTTTGACAGTGGTTGTAATGCTAACTTTGCGATTTACAGTGCTTTGGGGACTCAGGCTTTACTTGAAGCGGTGGTTAACTACGATCAAGCTCGGATGAAGAAAGATGCCAATGCATAGCTAGGATAATAGAACTGGGCTTAATAATGTACGAGCGATGCTTATTTCTTGTTTGGTATAATTTTAAATTAGATTTCAGAAATCTGATAGAGTCTATCTTCTTTTCTTACTATACTATCCAGACCTCATCTACCTCTATGAATCTAATAACATTCTTGTAGTTTCACTTGTTTATATATACCCCACACTGATCAGCACAATAAGATACAAAATTCAACCAATCCATGGAATTGAATAAAAAATTGTTTTGTCTGATGGAGAGGAAGGTTATGAAAAGTGGATGTTAATCACCTAAGTGGAGATGTTCATGGAAGGCGCTTGAATGTCATCGGAAGGCTGCAGGAACTCATTCTCGGTAATTAGATATCAGCGAGGGCTCAAGAGAAGCCTACATAAGTGCGAAAATCACTGCAAGTAATATTAATATTCCCAGTCTGATATTATATCCCTGATTTTAAAAATAGAATCTCAATTATTGTCAACATGTCCGCTCGCCGGCCCATATACTTCAACCCCGCCGCGGCAAATGCACGCTGTGACCCTCGGGATATCCAAGGTCTGAAAGAATTCCATCAATCGCTGCCCAACTACGCCCCGACACCGTTGACTCCCGTACCTGAGCTCGCAAAAGAATTAGGCGTTCGTGCCGTTTTTGTCAAGGATGAAAGTGATCGGTTTGGCCTCCCGGCTTTCAAAGTCCTGGGTGCCTCGTGGGGCTGCTATCGGGCTGTTACTGCCCATCTGGGCCTCCCGCCCACGATTGGCTTGGATGAGTTGTCGGCTAGAGTGAAGGACGCTTCGATTACGCTGGTTGCGGCTACGGAGGGTAATCATGGACGAGCTGTCGCCTTCATTGCGAGACTGCTCGACAGCAAGGCGGATATCTTTGTTCCGCGGAGTATGGATGAGTCTACACAGCAGCTCATTGGGAGCGAGGGTGCCCGTGTGATTGTTGTCCAGGGTGACTATGATCAGGCAGTTCGGGAGGCAGCAGATGCCGCTCAGGCTATTGCCGGGGGCATTTTGGTGCAAGATACTGCTTTTGATGGCTACGAAGACATTCCCTCGTGGATTGTAGAGGGATACTCGACAATGATGATGGAGGTCGATGAACAGATCGCCAAGGAAGGCCTGCAGTGCAACCTCGTTGTTACACCTGTTGGAGTTGGCAGTCTGGCGCACGCGGTAGCGAGACACTGCAAATCTAGAGATTCGCCCATATCGGTTGTGGCGGCGGAGCCGGACTCAGCACCTTGTCTGCATTCTAGCCTGGGATCTGGGAAACCGGTCGCTGTTCAAACGTCGTCGACGATTATGGATGGGATGAACTGTGGTACCGTGTCGACCACTGCGTGGCCTTATTTACAAAGACTTGTTGATGCATGTGTTACAATTTGTAGTTATGAATGCCACGCCGCAGTTGAATACCTCGCTACCCAGTCGATAAAGGCTGGACCTTGCGGTGCTGCATCGTTGGCTACGCTGAAGCGGCTTGCTGCGGCAAAGGAGGCGCAAACTCTCCTGAACAAAGACACCGTGGTTGTTCTACTCAGTACGGAAGGTCCACGGCCGTATCCCATCCCGAAGGAAGTGTCCGTGGAAGACTCAGTCGGGCTGACGCAGATCCTCACGACGATCAATTCCTCGAATCCCTCACTATCGTTGACAGACGGTGCTGGAGAGAACCAGATCGCAAACTACTTGGCTGCGTGGTTTGCTCACCGAGGCATCGAACATCACTGGATCGAGACCGTCTCCGGGAGACCATCCATTGTCGGAGTCCTGCGCGGTTCCGGGGGAGGTAAGTCCTTGATGTTCAACGGCCATATCGACACCGTAAGCCTCTCAAGCTACGAGAAAGATCCTCTGTCGGGAACATTGGGTGAGAAAGACGGCCGGCAAGTAGTGTTCGGAAGAGGCAGTCTCGATATGAAGGGAGGTTTGGCAGCAGCACTGGCAGCAGTATCAGCCGCCAAAGCCAGCGGCAACAATCTTCGCGGGGACGTGATCGTTGCTGCTGTTTCGGATGAGGAGGATGCTTCTCAAGGCACGCGCGACCTGTTGGCAGCAGGTTGGCGTGCTGATGCTGCAGTCATTCCTGAGCCTACCATGGGCCAGGTAGTCACAGCCCACAAGGGATTTCTGTGGGTTGAGATCGATATCCTCGGTGTTGCTGCTCACGGATCCAACCCCGGCGCAGGACAAGACGCTATTCTTTATGCCGGTTGGTTCCTTCGTGCTCTTGAGCAATATCAACAGCAGCTACCTGTCGATGATGTGTTGGGGCCGGCATCCTTGCATTGTGGGTTAATTCAAGGCGGCGAAGAGCCTTCCTCATATCCCGCGAAATGCACCATCACAGTTGAATTCCGTACTATACCCTGTCAGACGCAGGAGTCGATCTTAAGTGACCTTAAGAACCTTTTGGAGGGTATTGTCCGGGAGAACCCAAAGTTCCTGTATTCGGAGCCTCGCGCTACCATGCTCCGCCCGACGCAGAAGTTGGCGACTGACCATCCCTTTGTTGAGAGAGCGCTCGCTTGTGCAACTGCTGTGCTGGGGAGTACTCCTCAAGTAAGCAGTGCCCCTTTCTGGTGCGATGCGGCGCTGCTCAGCGAGGCAGGAATTCCGTCAATAGTGTACGGTCCTAGAGGTGAGGGACTACACAGCAAGGAGGAATGGGTCGAGGTCGAGAGTCTGCAGCAGCAGGAGAATGTCTTCTGGAGACTGATTGAAGACTTTTGTCAGTGATTGCTGAGATATTCTGCATGCTAGCAAAGTCTTCTATATTGTACATAGTTCTGAAGTGACCAAACGATAAGCTACCCAGCGTATAGAGAGTACAATTCATCTTGTAAGATCTTCTGATATAGTCAGCAGTAC